TGAGACGTAACAACGAAGCCTCCGTTGTTGCACGACCGTCTGATGTTTGTGTCCATTTAACTCTTTTGTTATAATAAAGGATCAAACTAACTAATAACCCTTTTTGGTGCGAGCTTTTTGAGGTTAATAATTTGTTAACAATCCATAAATTCCAAATCCTCGACTGAAATTAAAACTTATTGATACTATTTTATTTGCCCATATTGCAAATTTTGACGTAATCAAACGGCTAGCTGCTTCGTTACCTAGAATATATTTTTGAAACTGCAAATTGATTTATTCATAGGTTAAGGCATTTAACTTGTAACTAATTTTACCTTGGTTATCCTTAAATGCCAGGTAGAAATGCCGCATTAATCAAAATAATAAATAAAATAAATAAATTATATTTTTTTATCAAATAATGATCTACTTGGAAAATCTTTTTGTACATTTGTTATTAGATAATGCACTGAAGCATTAAAATGTTTTTGTTTTAATGCATTAAAACGCTTTAGTTACAAAATTTTCAATTTTCTCTATCATCGCCAACCACTCATGGGTGCAAGCCTTCTAATTTTTCTATTAAAAATTATATTCGATATTCAATCGTTTGCGATTGTCAGCTGAGTCACTGTTGCCCGGGGAGGTCACAGGCTGTCGAGATAGCGTCCCGCGGTGTCAGCATATCGTACGCATCAAAACCCTATAAATATTTACAGGAAATAGAATATTATCGGATATGTTTGGAAAACTTCGAGGCTTCAAAACGGAACGTTTTTGCTCAGAACGTTTTTGGTTCGGAACGAATTTTGTTGTTAAAGCGTAACTCGGAAATTTGACCTTCAACTGCTGCAAGACTTTTGAATTTCTTGAATTTAAGTGAAGTTTCTGTTCAGTTTTAACTTAACAGACATTAGAAAACTTGGAATTCCTCCTAAATCCACCAAAATTTATCAAGATCAAAATGTGAGATTAATAATATATGTTTAAAGTGTGAATCTGTAATAACAGACGTACTCGGCTGCTAAGTTGTTAATTGATTATCAATAAATGGTTAGATGACGATGAAGACAATGCATGATTACAGCCTGAAACGTCCACGAACGTAACGATTAGCAGGCCACATCTCTGTTTAAAATCAGAATATCCGACTTGAAAAGGCTGAGCGTTTCAAAAAGGCCGCTTGACTTTCACAATTTCTAGCGGCACTTTTTTTCAAGCTGAAGTATTTTGCCAAAACTCCTCACACTTGAAAGTTTGACTCAGGAATTCTTTAACGCTTCCACCAGAATTAATAAAACGTTTCTCTGTATGAATGTGGCACCGCCGCTGCTGCCGATCCACAAAAGTTTTTCATAGAAATCTCGGAGCGTGATTTGAAATGGTTTTCGTGAAAGTTTTTGATTGGAAAGTTTTAAAATACGAAATTGTTGTTTGGATTTCCAAGAGCATTTTAGAAAGCTGAAGTTAGTCTTGGAAAGCATAATGAGGCTGAGAGGCCATGGTGGAAAATTTGGAGCGTTGTATGACTTCTTTGCCGTCACAACTTGGGGTCCAGTTGTCGCCTAACTGGGGGGTTAATAAACCCCTAGAAGCTAATCTATCCATTTTATTATGTGGTATTATAGATAAAATAAAAATTGTGTGCACAATAAATGGGGTTAAAGGTAAAATTTATTGTGTAATTTGCTCCTGATGGAAAATAAATTTTCGTGACAATGTAAACATGTTTGGAATCGCCTGGGCTAGACGATTTCGAACAAAGAAGCGGTCCAACAGACAATGACCTCGTTTGGAAATTGTGGGAATGCTTCAAGTTGTTGAACGACTCTTTAAGATATTATTTTAGTAGGAAAATATTTATATATATTACTTGGTAGCGCACTAAATAATTTTTGAAGCTCCAATACTCCGGATTTTTTACGTTACCAATATTAAGTTGAGAAACAGTTTCAATACTATGCGCGTCACCTTTAATCCCTCCTCAAGCAGTTAATTACCGTATCTGTACTAAGCAATAGATAATTTATCTCAATTATGCATTTTCCCCCTTATATCTATAGCTTTCAAATTCTTGATATTTAGATTCGGTTAGGAATATTTTACGTCAGATATTTTTCAATAAATGTTTAAAATACCCTTTCCTTCAACGATATCTTATCTCAAGACGTTCTATATTTGTGCAAAGTATTTTTTTAATTTTCAGATCTTCACAACACGGAAACCATGCGAATCTAAGCTATTCATTTAGATCTGTATTACTGAATTTTAAACTTTGTCAATTACAACACAGAGAGACCTCCCTGGGAAGAGGTTTGTTGGGTCCGTGCCCAGAATTTTACCTTGGTCATTAGTAACATCTATGGTTTTCATTTAATGACATTTTAGAATCAACTGAATTGTGTAAAATCCTACTAAATGCAGTACTCGAGATAAATTTAACTTCATTAATCCATCTGTAATAAAATTTCCACGCATAATGATATGGATGATGAGACTGGACCATATCAACGCAAGCACGAGTTCGCGTTCTGAACAGTCATTTTAAGCATTCAGTAGTTACCAATTCAAAATTATTATACGTGATGTCCAGCGAATAAATGCTTTCTAAAATTTTTTTGTAGTGTCCAAGCTTAGAATTTAATAAGTTAAGCTAAAATTTCATCTGAGATTAAGAATCGAGATTGATAACTGATCCAATAACTCCCCCGATATCGAATTTTGTATTGATAACTAGAGAGAGGTACGAAATTATCTAATAATAATATATTACTCAATAAGAGAAGAATAAATGATAAATAACTATATTAATAAATAGTGTACATGATTTTAGGTTGATTAAAAAAATATCTATTACTTATTTAGTCTCCTACCAGCGCATTGGACAAAAATTTCATAAGAATTCAAGACACGTGAATTAAGCTCTACGTATAAGACTCCTACGATTTAACTATCAATCGACTTGATATTATTTTATTTGTATCTGAAACATTTACAGCAATAAACTCTACGGAAAATACTCCTAATATTTAACTATCAATCGTCGTCATATTATTTTCATTGTTTCATTTTCATATTATTTTCATTGTTTTTAGACATTCAAAGCTTGTGGTAATTCCAGAAATAGGGAGGAAGTTTATGCAAAATTCCAATCTCATGACAGTAAATGCATTACTAGGATGAAAATAATCGTTTTTTGTTTGCATATAATATGTAGTGAATAGGTTTACAGTAAAGACTGTCATTTTATCAATTTCAAATTTTTGTTAATCAAGTTCCTTATAGCATTAACCCACTGATCTGCTAACTCAAACATGACGTAACTAAATGTTATTTTGGCAAAAATATCGATTAAAAGTAATTAAAACCTGTGTTCATAATTACAGCAAAGAGTTCCAAATTTCAAAAGAATTGCAATGAGAATTGCACTTCGATGAGAAGTTAATTTTTCTCAATAGCGATTCATCTTTGTGTACAACTGCACTGACTTTGGGTTGCATCACAACGAATTAGGCCAATTATTCTTATATCATTCGCATTTCCGTTGATAATTTCATTTGATGATTTTTTAATGTCTTGGCTGGTTAAAATAAATGTAAATAACTAAACTAAAAAGGCAACTACAATTGATGTTCTAACGGAATTCCAAAAACTATATTTATTTATATCATTTCGTCATTATTTTATGAAAGTTATATCTTTTGTAACTTCTATAACACAATCATGATAATTTAAACAATGAAGTAGAGGGATTAAACAAAACACATAAAATTCTGATACTACTATTATGAAATACTGATGATCCATATTGAAACACATCGACATTGATTGCTGATCTCGGGGCAATTTACGACATGATACTTATCTGTTAACACTTCTGCATTCGTGATATTTTGCGTACAGTCCCTCGCAAATTACACGAAGCTTGTAATGCTTATGAGTGCAAAAATTTTTTTAGGTAAGGATCTGTTTTCTATGAACTTATTAAATTATTTACAGTTCCGTAGAATGGCTAGCGAAGCCGCAAGTAGATTAAATCCAATTTACATTTTGAGGTCAAATTTGTAAAATTTTGTTGGAAGTATTTAGCGTCGTACACCTGGCATGTGGTGCACTGCAATTCATCTGAGGTCCACTCGGTGCATCTATGGCAGCTTTTCTATGATGATGAATCGTAGTGAAGGTCGCATGTTAATCCATTAACGCACAGCAGCCGACCTTAGATCATGGACCGCAGAAATTACGGCTCCAGCAGCCAGCCAGCCAGCAACGTGGCATCTCGCCTTCCAGCTTCGCGTCCACAATTATTTCCTTCCAATATTGCATACGTAGCCGGGTTTTGTCATGCCTAAGTTGAGTGAAAACTAAATCTCTACAGGACCAACAATCCTGGGTCTCAAATCATTATTTGCTGTTTCGCATAAAATAAGTTCTGTTTAGTTTCATTTGTGATCTGGGAATAAATTTTAAATGCAAAACTGAGAATCTAAGACGACAAAAAGATGTGAACCAATGGGAAGCACTGAAATTAGGAAGTAGGAGGAGCTTTGAGTATTCCTGCCTGCCGACTAATTATTAGTAACTTCTTACTGTTTATACAGCCATCACTTTCCTTTACTGGATTTCAAAAGTTATACACTCGTATGTAAATTCTAATTGTTAAATAATTTCAATACAAATGTGCAATTCAAAAAAGCATTCTATACCATGCAACTTTGAATGGATTCGAAACTTAATGTCTAAACTACCCACACCATGAACATAAATTTCCCAGACTCACCGGCGTGATGCCGTTACACGTAAAGTTCAGAGGCCAAGTGAGCTGAATGCGTGATCATGAAATCAATCTTCAAAGTCGTAATTGTGTATGGCAGCGATGAGCCGGAAGTCCTGGAACTACCCAGTGGGCGGTTCAGTGCGGCAGAGGGCGGAGCTTCTCCAACGGTCGTAACGGCCTGAGGCCTACGGCCGCCTTTTCAAATTTGAAGTCAGTATGCCGTGCGCGCTGCTGCCGTGAGGTTGTGTCGCATCTGAAGCCTTTATTCTGTCGTCTTGAAGACTTTGAGGACCATTTCTTGCTCGTCACCAAAATAAGAAGTTACGGAAAACTACGTGATAACAGACACTGAATTATATCTTCTAAACCAACAACTTGACGCCATAGCGCAGGGCTGACTGCATTCGAGCAACTTTGAACATAGGCCACATCAATTGAAGACTGCCGGCCTACCAGGTAAATTTGTTGCATATTATAACGCTTTGTGCTCAAAAGACCGAAACAGTTTTGAGCAATTCCGTATAAGTGATTTCATGCATTCTGTAAATGAAGAAATTTATTGATAATTGACATAAATACTCTCGCCAAATCGTATGTTTTGCCTTTTTAGTTTGATGTAAGAACGCTCTTCGCTGCGAGCTGTAGTAAAAAAGTCCTATGCGATTCCGCTATTACATGTACATTTCATATGTATTCTGTTAATATTCATGAAATATTTGAATGTCTCAAATACAATATATTCGAATACATTGTATTTTGATGCATGTCAACCGGACTACATGCTATGTATTGCATAACAAGCTTAAATTCCCGGAGCAATATTGCCATGGAATACTATGGCGGTTAAAACCTACAACGCCCGCTAAAATTTAAAAATACATTTAATTTAGCTGTTCATTTTTAAACATTTTTTTGGGGCATTTTGAATATGAATATTAAAAAATTAATAACTAGTGAGTAATACGCTATGAGTATTAAACCATTTATAGTATAAAAGCCTGAATGGCGCATATAGAGCGGTTGTATTACAGTGTCACACCTGCCATTAGCCCTTAGCCTTCCATTAGCCCTTAACATACCATCAGCCTTCTACCTACCGTTAGCCCTTTACTTACTGCTTTACTTGCCTTTGACCCCATATATGCATTGAAATTAAAGCCTTATCAACCACCCATTGAGCCCATAACGACCTACCACTATCTCGATACCTACCTAGATGTTGCTCTATTGCGCGGCAAGGTCCAAAATGAAAATCTGGCATTCCCCCAAACGCATGACATTTTGCATCCAAAGCTCGTTTCACCAATGAAAATAAGTCTCATAATACTTCATTACGAGTTCATCTCTGCAGGAGCTATAGTTTAGGCTGCTGGAAATAATCCACCTTAACAATTTACTTTTCGACTGAATTAAATGGCACTCACACATTCCAGAAGGGATTTTGATTAACAACTGATGCTTGACTCACATATATCCCATCAACCTCCAATAATCTATTGACTATAATTACTCTAATAAAAAATATTTCAATTCTCTCATAAGTTTTTAGCATTTTGTTATATTTATCTTTCCTTAGACATCACCTAATATATCGATTATTTCAGAATAAAGAAATTATATCAATTCTATCAATCAAAAGACTATTCATAACATTATGTCCGGAGATGTACTGTAACTTGTTTAAAAAAGCAATAAATTTCTGGTACTTGTCACATAATTTTTCAGATTGTACAAAACTATTTGAATTTTCGAAGACTAATTCATTGGCTGGGTGCGTCTAGTTTTATGGCAAATAAATCAGCGTAATTTGGATAAAATTAGCCTCCACCAATCTTTTGATAAAATTGACCGGCGTAAATTATTAGCTAAGATTAGCAATTCTAATCTTTACACTAGTTTCGCCAACACTAATCATTATGTAAGTTTGGCTGATCCGAAGATTGGATTTGTGGTGGATCTTTAGGTAAGATTCATGATCTTTTGTTAAATTGACGGATCTTTAGATAAAATTGACCAATATTAGACAAGATTGACCAATTTTTAGATAAGATTGACCAATATTTAGACAACAAGATTGACCAATTTTTAGATAAGATTGACCAATATTTAGACAAGATTGACCAATATTTAGACAAGATTGACCAATATTTAGATAAAATTTACCAATCTTTAGATAAGATTAGCAAGTACAGAAGCTGCCGAGGCGTCGGCGGCTTCGAAGGCCGCGTGTGCGACCGGCGACCTCAACTGGCCAGGCGGAGCACCGCCAGGATGGCGGCGCCGCGGTAGCCAAAACCCGAGGATGAAGCCAGCTCAACCACATCTAATTCGTCTTTAGTGAATAGTTTGAGCAAAGCTAGAGGCTAAAAAGCTCGAAAAGAACTTGAAATAGAACCAAATATGTGGAAGGAAACTTAATGTTGAAGGGCTCGAAAAGAAATCGCATCTGAACCTAAAAAGTGGACTGGGACTTGATATGTAAAAGCTCGATGGTATCTCGCACCGGAACTCGTACCGGACCGAAGCTTGTTGCCGAAGCGTTCGAAAGGAACACGCAATTCTAGAGAAACACAGAAATAAACTGAAATTTGATACCGAAACACTCGAAAGGATCTCACGTTAAAACCTCAAAAACGGACTGAAACTTGATAACGAAGTGCTCGAAAGGATCTCGCACTGCAACCAAAGAAACGGACTGAAACTTGATACCAAAACGCTCGAAAGGAACTCGCAATTCTGGAAAAACACAGAAATAAACTGGAACTTGATACCGAAACGCTCAAAATTGACTTACACTAAAACCTCAAGAATGCACTGAAACTTGATTTCGAATTCTCGAAAGGAACTCGAACTGGAACCAAGGAAATACCTGAAATTTGTTGCCATAGCGTTACCGCTAAACAAAAAATTTAGGAGCAAAGAACCGGCAAGTTAGATTCATCGATCGCATCTTGAGATACATTTCGGACATCAGCAATACCTTAATGAATTAGTAGATTCGAAAATAGTGTTGGTAAATTAGAATTTCTTTTAGGTAAATTAAATTTCTGGCTGCGATAATCCTGTATAAATTCAAAGTATTGGCAATAGTTTTGTAATAATTTTTTTGACAAAACTAATTAATTTTATTTGTTGTCAAGCTTCAATTAATATTATTACGGAACTACACGTTCAGTTTTTCATTGCAAAGAATGAGAATGAGCTAAGGATTCTAAGCTCTAGGTTGTGAAACAATACCTTGATAATATATTTGGTCATAATCGTGTTAGCTAAAATTTGAATTTTGTGATATTTTTGTCGAGAATGAATTTGGATTGACAATTATGTCCACATGAAAGATCTATTATTGATCAAATAATCATACAAATATTTTTGAAGATGAGAGAGTGTGTGAGTAATTCAATTTATGAAAATTCATATGTTATTATGTATAAATTCATATACCACCAATTAGCTTTATAACCATGAAGCGTTTACCAGCAACTGCACTTGAGAGGCAACTGCTCAAGTTTCAAGTAAATAGAAACGATGGAATATTAAAAAAAATCAGTGTTTTTATAATAAGAGAGGTCTTAATCAATATCAACGATGCTTAAAGACTGTTATTATTAGAATTCGTTTATAAGCTATAAAGGCTTTCTTATTTTACTTTACCGTGATATAAATAAATAAATAAAAATTTCATACAAGTCTATGAAAGTTTGTCTCAAAGGAAATTCTGAATATAAGGAATAAAAAATATTAATCTTATGTAAGCTTCAAAATAAAAATAATAATTAAGATTTTCTTATCAAACTTATAAATGAATTTTTTAACCCTTCTTAATAGTATTTCATTTCCCACGGCAATTAGGCCGTGTGGTTAAATTTGTCGAATAGAAGTAAGATTCTGAACAAATTATATCAACTATAGTGTATTTTATTAAAGTTTTTCTTTTATTTATTTGTCTGAATCTGCAAATATATATTGGAATTTAAAACATCATGTCAGACAAAACCAATTTCAATATCACATGCTAAAACCGAGGAATGCTAAAACGAGTGATTATCAAAAAAGGATAATAGTTTCATTAAATTTGAGTTCATTTTCTACGCATAAATTTTAATTGTAACGCTGTAGAGCTATGTAGATATACATTTCGAAACTGGGATCAAAATACAAATTTTTAATAAAAGCAAATTAAAAAGTCCTCGCTCATTCATAAAACTATCAATTAACCGACTCTATTCCTGCTGTGTAGTCACCATTTATTAGTAAATTACGTAAGTAATAAAATTACACGATTAAATTAAACAATTAAATCTGCTCATATTTGCAATGCAATCGAACTTGACGCGTGTAGCTGACATGCCGCCCGTTCATCACTAAATAAAATTAATGTGTCATAGTGTCCAAAAAATGTCGCACTTTTTTGCATTTATAACGATGTGCCTTTTCGACGAGTCAAACTGGCCCAAGATGATCCATACAAGAGAAAAAAGTGCAGCGATATTAGGACAAAGCCTCCCTCATTTCTTTGAGAGCTGCATTGTATAGCCAGGTCCATACCCCTGCGGGCGCTCTGATCAACAAAAAACAATGACGTTATATGGATTTAATCAGGAATCAGCGCTCCAGATAATAGGAATTATTGCCTCGGTCGGCTGATCACATGGCCAGGCGAAACTTTTTCGGGGGGACTCGGATAAATAAAGCGGGGGGCACCGATGCTTGCCTTCGGCGCTATAATTAGGAAGGCGAGGTGAAGGCAGTATGCTTGTTAAGAAAGCAGTATGCTTGTGAAGAAGGCAGTATGCTTGTGACGAATGCAATATGCTTGTGAAGAAGGCATGCAGTATACTTGCGAAGAAGGTAGTATGCATGTGAAGAAGGCAGAATGCTTGTGAAGAAAGCAGCATGCTTGGGAAAAAATGGAGTGCTTGTGAAGATGACGGTATTCTTATGAAGGAGGCAGCATGCTTGTGAAAAGCGCGTGTCTGTGGGGAAGGCAGTATGCTGCTTGTGAAAAATGCTACAGCCTTGTAAGAAAATGACTCTGAATGTAAATTATTCATACAAATCATTCAATGTTTGATATGGTGATGAATTGAAAAGAGAACGGAACACTTCCATCGTAATAGCGATCCTACACCGAAAACTAACAAATTTCCTACAGCAGTCAATATACACACCCATAGTTATCCTTTGAAATTAAACTTATAGTGCTGGGCTCGTACTATCAAAACTTCCTATAGTATACGTAGCGTCCTATGGTTCACGTAGCTCCTGAGTACACGTAGCGGCCAAATTCTCGTCTGTGAATAGTGGATACATAAATTTGAATAGCCGTCAATGATTGGATAACGGAGTTACAAACTCTTAACTAATCATCTTAGTACGGCTTCTGCATAATACATCAAGTCCGATGTACGTATAATCTCCTATATGTTTGACATAAATTTATTCAGCTATACGTT